GGTTAAACCACGAAGTTTTTAAGATTGTTTGTTACCACAGCTTAGTCTGGTGTATCTTGATTATCTCATTCTTTTTATCAAAAACTAAGGGAACCCTGGTGTCTTAGTCATCTAGTGCTGCTGTAACAGAAATACCATAAGTGGATGGCTTTAACAAAAAAAAAAAAATTATTTTCTCACAGTCTGGTAGGCTACAAGTTCAAATTCAGGGCATCAGCTCCAGGAGAAGCTTTCTTTCTCTCTCGGCTCTGGAGGAAGTTCCTTGTGATGCATCAGTCTTCCTTTGGTCTGGAAGCATCTCAGCACAGTAACCTCAGGTCCAAAGACGTGCTCTGCTCCCAGAACTGCTTTCTTGGGGGTATGAGGTTCCTATGTGTCTCTGCTCACTTCTCTCTTTTATATCTCAAAAGAGATTGGCTTAAGACACTATCTAATTTTGTAGACCTCATCAGTATAACTGCCGCTAATCCATCTTATTAGATCATAGTGATTGAATTTACAACACATAGGTAAATCACATCAGATTAAAAAATGGTACACAGTTATACAATAGTGGGAATCATGACCCAGGCAAGTCGACAGATATTTTTGGCGGGCACAACTCATTCCATGACAGACAGTAAGAACGGTTCTGGGAAAAGTCAGCAAAGCACTTTTTAAAATAACCAAGCTAGAAAACACATAACACAAATGATTAAATTTAAACTAACCTATAGATTGTTGGTAGTTGCCAGAGTGTGAACCTGAACCGAAACCTCATTTTTAGATAGTCTACTATCTGCCAACTGAGTAAATGTCAATCACTGTAACTTCCCCTTTGGAAACCTTCTGTTTATTTTGTGTATATAAACCAACTAAAATTGTAATTTGGTGAGTTCATCTCTTCGGATAGGAGACTCTCTGTTCGTCAACAGTTCTTCAGTAAACCCTACCCGCTCATAATCCAGTTTGAGTTAATTTACTTTTCGACAGCACCAAAACGTAGCAACTACTCTGCAGCATAACAAGGAGATAGTTGCACCTGGGAAAGGCGTCCCCTCCTCAGAACCTTTTCCGATTTGAATATAAGCCTCCTTCTATGATAAAAACCCTGTTAAGCTTATTTGTTGGTTTGCAGCATCCTCATCTGTAAAACAAGGATAAATAATACCGACTTCATAGGACCATAGTGAATATGGTTAGTTATTGAAATAAAGAATGGAAAGTACGTAGCCCAGGGACTACTTCGGAGAAAGCGCTCAGTAAGCGGCGGTCACTCTCGGATTCTTTAAAACGCGTTGTTTGAAGTTAATGGAGTGCGCATCCAAAGAAGTCTTGGGTGTACATCACCAGTTGCATGACCCAGCATCAAACACATCCCGTTGGTAAAAGCAGCGACCTCTCAGCACTCCCCACAGCACAGGGAGTTCGCAGCTCGCGGCGTCCGGGACTGAACCGCCGAGAGCTCGAATGAAACCGCCTGGGGCTGAGCGGAGGGCCGACGCCCGCCAAGTAAGGACTACAACTCCTGTCAGACTTCACCCGAGTTTAGGGGTTCTCTACACTTTATCATCCGCGTATCCCTCAGTGGCTCCGCCCCTCCGGGGGCGCTCTTTTTTCCCTTGGCGGTCCTGAGCGTGGCTGCGCCCCCGTCACCGGAAGAATCCGTGTGACGTCACGAGTGTCTACGTGTGGCGCGGGGGAGGGAGTTAGCGGACGGTCCCTGGCTCGGTTCTGGAGGCCCCGGGACCGCGGAAGAGGCTCCAGAGGGTGGCCGCGATGCCTCGCCCGCGGCGGGTCAGTCAGCTCCTGGATCTGTGAGTCCACCCTTGTCCCCGCCTCCCCTTCGCACCGCCTCGGCACCTCCCTCGCCGAACCCGGCCCTGCGCTCCTTTCCCTCCCCGCCCTCTTCCCACCTCCCGGCCTCTAATGAAGATGTGCTGGTGTTTCTGTTCCTGGGTTCCTGGTTTGTCGTCTCCCAACTGAGAACCGTTGAGCAAAGTGGCCTGCTGGACAGGCTTGACGCCTTCGTCCTGTGCCCTGGACGCTACCAGATGGGTGTCGGAACTCCTGTCAGACCTGACAGCTCGTAGCCCTGCTAGTGTCCTGGCAGTGGCCTGTTTCTGACGGGAGTTGAAAGCCTCGGTAGAACAAAAGGAAACACTAGATGGGGCTCTCAAAAGCCTTCAGCAAAATTCCACCCCGGTCTTTATTATTATGGTAACTGGGATAGTCATTCTTTGAGGCAGTATCTAGTACAGTGGTTAAAAATATGGATTCTTGATTGAGATTGCTTGGCTCAGCTCCCAGCCCTGCCATTCACCAGCTGTGTGATCATAAGTTATTTCTCAGTGCCTGAGTCCTTTATCTATAAAATTAGAATAATAATAGTACCTATCTCATGAAGTTGTAGTGAGAAAGAATTTAACACATAAAGCCCTTAAAAGGGTGCCTTGGCAAGTAATAAACCCCATTTAAGTGTGGCACAGTGGTTAAGCGTTTGACTGCTAACCAAAAGGCTAGCAGTTCGAATCCACCAGCCACTCCTTGGAAACCCTATAGGGCAGTTCTACTCTGTCCTATAGGGTCACTATGAGTTAGAGTCAACTCGACAGCAATAGGTATATGATAATGTTACTGGACTGAACGTTTCTGGAAAGAAGAGATTGGCGTTGTAACGGCAACTTCCAGCACAATTTCCAGTGTGAAATAAATAATAATAACAATAAAACCCGTTGTGGTCGAGTCTATTCCGACTCATAGCAACCCTATAGCATGGAGTAGAACGGCCCCATAGGGTTTGCAAGGTTGTAATCTTTATGGAAGCAGATTGCTACATCTTTCTCCTGTGGAGGGGCTGGTGGATTCGAACCACCAAACTTTACATAAACCACTGTGCCATAAGGGCTGCTTCCAGTAATTTTACCATGTGGAAAATAAAGAGTTTAAAGAAAGTGATAACCTTAATCTACTGAAGGCTTTCTCAAACAGTGGGGATTTGACCTTTACATTATATCTCATAAATTTCTGGCCCTCAGTCCACAGTCAGTTTTAGTAAAGGGGAAATCTGTTGGTTCTCCTTTGTGTGGACTGAGCCTTTTGTAATGTCCTGAGAAAAAGATCTTGCTTTAGCTCTGGTCATAAATTTTACACCTGATCCAAATGAGATTTTATTTCTGTCAGTAAAGGCAGTTTAGAGTAATTGTTAAAGAGCTCAAGCTAGGAAGACAGACTACTTGAGTTCTGTTTATACATCTAACATTTTTTAGTTATATAACCTTGAGCAAATGATATAACCTGTCTGGGTTTCAGTCTTCTCATCTGTAAATGGGGTCAACGATAATATTACCTCCTTTACTGAGCCATTGTGAAGATTAGAAGCCATTACATGAAAATGTCATAGAACAATGCTTTGGCACATAATAAGTGTTCATTTATGTCAATCGTTATCAATATTATTGAATGCCTACCATGGACAGGGAGCCCTGGTGGCGCAGTGGTTAGGAGCTACGGCGGCTAACCAAAAGTTGGCAGTTTGAATCCACTAGCCGCTCGTTGGAAGCCTATGGGACAGTTCTCCTCTGCCCTATAGAGTTGCTGTACGCCCTATATGAGTCAGAATCAACTCAACTGTAATGGGTTTAGTTTGCTTTTTAAGATGGACAGCAGTATAACAAAGAATATGTTGCCTAAATTCTAACCTTTATTCTAAAGCTCAGCTTAATTCCTTTTTCTTTCCTGAAGCCTCCCTGAGATTTCCGTGCAAATGATCCTCTGAACTCCTGTAGCCAGAACCAAGTCTTTTGTCTCTTTGCATCTTTACTTATAGGATTTGCTCAGTATCCATTGTTAAACAGTTTAGCAAGTGTTTAAAGAGCGCATGTGGCATATGCAACACTGTGCTGAAGGTTGCAGGATATAGAAAGCTGCATAAAGGAGATGCAGTCTTACAGGACTAGTATAAGACAAGTATATAAATAACTATAGGTATAGGTAAATAATACCACTGAAGAGGGATGAACAAAATGCTTTGAAACTTCTGATAAGAAAAAGAACATATAAGACTACGGGAAGGCTTTTTGAAGGGGGTTATATTTGAAGATTGGTAGAATCAGACAGTTGCTAATGGGAGGAAATGCATCCAAAAAGGGGAGAGGGGGAAGTGGAGGTGTGGAATAATGAGTGCAGTGGATTGACAGGCAGGAAAGTTAGAAATACCTGAGAAAGCCAGAAAATAGTATTCCGATTTGACTGGAGCATACAGTATGAATAGTGGAGTAGTGAGACATAAAGCCAGATAATATGGAGTAGAGCCATATTGCAGAGAGCTTTGGGGTCCAAAATGAAGACAGTGTGTTTTAATTTAGTGTAGGGAGCTATCAAAGGTTTTGGAAATGTGCTGGGGTTACAGAGAAGTTGGGAATGGGGAAACACTTAAGAAAACTGTTGCAAAATCTTGGAAAGTAGTAAAGAGTACAAACTAGGAGACGTGTGAAGATGTTCATTGCAGAATTATTTCTGATGTCAGGGAGTTGGAGTGTCCATCACTGAGAGAGGTACCCTAGAGTATTATATAGCTGTTAGAAAAGTAAACAGTAGGTACACATATTCACATGGCTGCAAGTTAAAAATATAGTGCTTAGTGAAAAAAGAGGAAACAGAATAACTCAAGTTAAGAAACATTATCCAAGGAATCCTGATCAAAAGGGGGGAAATGTAGAACAGAATTTCAAAGTCTCATGGACTCTAGACTTTCTGGAGCCAAGAGGGCTGGATGAACTCTGAAACTATTGCCCTGAGGTAATCTTTAAAACTTAAACCAAAAATGTCCCCTGAAGTCTTCTTAAAACCAAACAATAGCTTAGCTAGTAAAAAAGGTCTGCCTTGAGCATCATGCTCTTTTAAGAACTATCTATACAGGATCAAAGTGACAACAGCAACACAAAAGATTAGATAGGAACCCTAGGGGGCAGTGGGTTTATGTTAATGGGGGATGAACAACTCAGAAAAGGAGGGTGAAAATGGTTGCACAACTTGAAGAGTATAATCAATGTCACTGAATTCTACATGTAGAAACAGTTGATATATGTTTTGCTATGTGTATTTTCAACAACAGCAAAATGAAATTAAAAAAGAAAAATTATCCAAAATTTAGAAGTGAAGCAAAAAGATGATCAGATGACCCTCATTCTTATTAGGGTATTGCCTCTCCATGTAAGGGTCTAGGGGCGTGTAACTTTAGTGTATTATTTACTATTGATTACAACACAGATATTTTGCACCTCTCTAAAGTGAAATACTAATTTGTAGAAAACTGAATAAATGATTTTGTCCCATAACAACATAAATGATTTTTCTGTCCTGTAAGGACTGCTCTTTCAATCAGTTTTGTATCTAATTTAGTAATATTACTCCAGCATTTTTTTAAATCTTTCACTGATTATACATAACTGTCTCATATCCTCTTTTGAACCAGCTTTGTCATCTTACTAGTTGTCTTATTAATGAGTTAAAACTTTGACATATGCTCACTATGTTTTAAAGCAGTATTATTTTATTTTAATATTTTGAAAAGTATGCTTTTGACACATAGTACTATTTAATTGAATTAAAAATATGCATACAAAACTATCGTACACATTTTACAAGACCATGTACACCTATAGATATCATTAACCCATTAGAATGGTTGCCTATGGGAATAGGAGGGATTTGGGAGTGGAATATGGAGATTAAAGGAAATAAATAAAAGGTGTCATTGCCAATAATTACAGGGACAGTAGACGGGACAAAAAGCAACCCCCATTCCCAATTGAGAAATATTCTATGGCTTATTCTTCTCTACATACAAGCATATAATCTAAAGGGGCACAGATCACTCCAGTTTTGGAATTTATTGTTAAACTTGATTTAGATCACCATTACATTGTTTTGGTTAAGCCACATGAGCAGTGTCACTGAGTGTTGCAGCCTTAATTGCCGTACATAGAATAATCCAAGATCACTTGGGTATCAGGAGAAACATAAATTTGTATGTCAGATTGAGACACCATTGTACTGGTCCATGAGTTTATACATGAATGAAATAAGGTCCATGTTCAGGAACTGCTGTTGATGGTGTCAGGCATAGCAGAATAATTCAAGGCCAGTCGTATGCATATGAGTTTTTCTATTTTCATAGCACACGGATAGGGATGACAAACTCAACAGTGGGTCTGATGTCCAGCTGCAGCTACTGCTTGCCTCAGGTGGACCATTATGATTGTTTTGCTAAGCTACAGTTCTGGACGAAGGGAGGACAAAGGGAGCGTTAATTGCCCTCCCACCCCCAGATGTCCTCTCCCCAAGTTCTGGGGTTCTTGCTATCCCTCATGATCACATTATTGGTATGTCCCATACTGACCCATTGACATCGAGTCAATTCCGACTCATAGCGACCCTGGAGGCCAGAGTAGAACTGCCCCATAGAGTTTCCAAGGCTGTAATCTTTATGGAAGTAGATTGCCACATCTTTCTTCTGTGGAGGAGCTGGTGGGTTGAAACTGCCAACCTTTCAGTTAGCAGGTGAGCACTTAACCACTATGCCACTAGGGTTCCTTATGCCCCATACTAGTACCTATCATTTCACATTTTCTCCAGTCATCCCCTATTCACAGGGGTCAAGTGCAAGAGAAACAAGGGCATTTTAACACAGTTTTTAGAGAAGCATCATATTTTCCACCTTGACTATCATGGGCCACTGTAGGAGGACTTGGTGAGCAATGTACTCATCCAAGTGGTCATTATATTCATTATCTAAGATAAGGGTTGACAAACT